ATCTTGGGCAGGTGCTGAACCCGTGCGTAGTGCACGCTGGTTTTTCGCACCTCTCTTCGGGTAAGGAGCCTTCCTGCTGGGTGTATTAACACCAGCATCAAGTTTGGCATAGCAGTGAGTCATCATATGGCCGCCCGTGCCGCACTTGTAGCAGACCACGTCTGCATTGCCTAACTCCATTGGAGTGGCATCCGAATTCTCGAACGACGGCTTATATAATAAGCTGTCGCTGAGGCACTGCTGTAGGATTGCTCCTCAACCATGGCAATTCTAATTGCCTCTTCAATTGCCTTTTGCACCTTTCTAAGAAGGGACTGACGCGATGGGCCGTGCCATAGTCCGTTCTTGAACGTAGGCACCTTAATGTGCTCTGGTATTGGGCCCACATTATAAGACGCAGACATCGAATGCATCTCCTGCACCTACTCTTGCCGAGATCGTTTCGCCTGTCGTGCTACAAAGAAGCGCGCCATAAGCAACACATCGTTGTTAGGCGGCTTACACATGGCGCGAATCTTTGAATTAAAAATCGCTTATGATGGAAACGCATCATCGTTTTGCCATCAGCGCAGAGTAAGCTCAATCTGAAGCTTTTCCACGCAAATTTGATATACCATCCTGGTGTTGTCTTCGATGAGCTGCGCCATACCGCATTGCTCCATGGCTAAAAGCCAGTGAATAACCGTATTTGGGGCAGTCCCATCAAACTTCGGAAGGTCCATCCGAATGGGCCTTGGCTGATTAGACCGGACCGAGAGCGTCTCAACAGTTCTGTTGAACGCCTCATTCCGAGATTGCTCACACAAAAGCTCATCCTGAGACTTATTGATAGACTCATCCGTGGCTTGGCTGTTTAACTCGGACGTGTTTCTACGCTGTACGAGAACAAACACCTCAAATTGCTCCAACTGAGCAACGTGTTGCTCAGGAGGACAGTGCAAGAGGTTGTCCAGGGCTTGTTCACCAAGTCCCTGCGCCAAATGCTCTGCCAACTCCCTCTGATTTTGGGAAGGCTGGAAAAGTCTCCCCAATCCATATTGAGGGACATCCGTAGTCACACGCACGCTCAGAGAGAAGGGTCGTGGGAAGAACTACTAGTGCTACCAAGTGTAGACAGGCGCTTCGAAAGAAGCTGCTACGTACTACGCGAGCACACACCTTCGAGCAGCGTGAGGAAGCGGTTAGACCGTCTTACCTCCGCGTGCGGTGGTGGTGTTGTTGGTCGGCGCTAAAGCGCTGTACCAACCGTTGCCGGTCGCTTTGAAGCAAACCGCGCAATGAACTTCTAAAAAAGTGTTTCACTTGCTACACGCAGAAGCTTATTCAGCTCCTCATGCGCAGTAAGCAGTAATTAGTAAATTCAAGACTGACTTATATTTAATACCTCTTATTTAAATATATAACTAACTACTAATTGGTTAAATGTAAAGATCGGATACGCGTCTCTTTAGAAGCGTATCCCTACGTGCGAGCTAAAAATGTCTTTAAGTTCGTTGGTGACGTCTGTTTGAAGCGTCACCATGACGTCTAGTCCCAACTGGACGTCATCCCCGTTGAATGTGAATCCATCCATGGATATCACATTCACGAGGGTGGGTCACATGGATGTGCCGCACCCAAGTGGGAGGTCTAAGGTACCTCGTACCCATTTAGACCTTTCCGTTAAGTAAAAATACTTTACGAACCCGTGTAATTATTAGCCCGTTACAACGTGGCAATACATGGTATCGCTACCGTCTCAATTACGGTGCAGTGTTGTCATCGCGCTTCAACCTCCTACGGGTAAAAAGGTTCGGTTAGTCAAGGGAAGACGTAGTCATCATTTCACGCTCATATCACGTGCGCGTGGTCGAACCACCTTGCCAATGCTTCTTATGCCTACTCATTTCGGGTTTGCGAGCAACTACTTAGGTTAGCGAGGGTAAAACATCCATAATTTATCCATACCAGCCACATCGTGACTGGGCTTGGTGAGTTGATTTACGGGGCATGAAAGTTGCAAAATGAGCATATTCGGATCGTAAGGTGTCGGGAAACACGGCGAATATATTAGGAAAATGTGTTTTAAAGACCAAGATCATGATGAAAAATGTACCAGACGAAGAACGTGCCCGACAACGAACTATTCTTTGCCTTTCATGCATGTTAGTCTGCGCTGTCTCATAATGTGCTGTTGTGTGTTAGTAGGAAATTTTTGATGATTTAGCTCATGCAGCACTTTCGATGTAACGTTCGTTGGCGTTATACGACAAGCAACGAAATTCCCTACGCGCTAGAGTAGTAGCACTCCATGAAGGACATTGGTGGTAAGGTCACTCACAGCAGTCAGAGGAGGTGGAGATTTCGCACCGGCGCCATTTAAAGTAGAGCCTTTTCCAGCACCTAGCACAAAGCAAAGCCTAACTAACACTCAAAGCACCTTTGTACTTAGCAAAGTGGTGCAGGGAGACATTCGGAGGAGCACGATACCAGTGCATATGACCAGTGCATTAATAGAAGCGCGATATTTAATGGATAGAAACGCAGGTGACATTTCAGAATTAGATTCGCAGCGAAAGCGGTCAAATGTAATGACTCGCAATCAAAGCTTCTCAGCTTTGATATCATTGTGATCTTAACGCAGTCGACAATGCGTTCAGCTAAAAGTTTGACATGACTTGGTATTGGTGTCGTATAGTATAATCGAGTTCGAGCTTCATTACGCAAAGTTGTTGCCAAATGCCGGTGGCGGACGTAGGTGGTTTAACAACTGAATGACCGAATGAATTGGCTACGCTGCAAAGTATGTGCGTGCAGACCCATGAGCTTGACAGTGGCCGCGTCTGGCGCATGGATTAAGGATCCGCATCGTTTGCTGCCACCAAGAAGCTGACGAGGCGTGTGTTTCTAGTCGGTATAAAGCTAGGCAGCACGACAAAAGGAAAAGCTGCATCTCATTCAGAAAAAGATTGTGGTTCCTTTGTACATCTTGATCGTGAATAAGCACTGCTTGATCTGCATCACGCGACACTAACTAAGAGTTATTTGCTGCTCCATTTATTTGACTGTTACCTACTGAGTGGTTTAGGATGTTCTTACGTTGACGGAGGTGGTTAGTACTATATCGCCAACAGGGTTGGGCGTACACTTACCTTTGGGAATACATGTAATACTCTCGTCGATAGCGATCTTACTGGGCAAACTACACACCTAGAGAAAGCAGTACGAGACGTAGGCGCACCGACCAGACATACTTCTTGCCAATTAGAAACAGACGACACACGTAACAGCTGAAGGCGAATAGTCATTGGATATACATCGCTTTCCTTGAACCGTGCTGACTAGGCGAATGAAAGAAAAACGTCTCAAAACCAATATCCTTCTCGACTAGACAGAGTTACGTTGCCTATCGGCAAGTCGGTGGGATCCTCCGACGCTGGTGAAAGAGGGATCGACAATCCTTTTTATTCAAGGCTAGACTATATCCGGTGTCGCGTATTAGCTTCTTTGATTGAAAAAAACGTTCGTCACGAGTGTCGGTGGATGATGGATGACCTAATAGATACACGTAATATACAACACCTGTGAACATGTGTTGTTCTATCTTGAAGCCAAATTAGTCGCTACCTGACCACAACCCATGAATAGTGTTGCACTTCATTCTACAGTTGTATCATGAACCTTAAGCTCCTCGTGCATACATCATTACCCAACAACTGTTCAATTATTGGCGTGTAATATCTTGTAGACCCAACAGTTTCCCATATCCTGTTACCACCACCGTGGCATTACGTTGACGCTCGGGAAGCTCAAGCGTGTACCAGAAGAATGCAAGACGCATTCTTTTAGAGTTTATCTAGGTTGAGCTGTCGATGAGATGAGCTTTCGGACGAATTGAAGGAACTACATGTGAGTAAGATTACTTAGTTACGCTAATGAATCGATACCTCTTAGCCATCCGATTCCTGTCCTAAATATGCATTGTCCACCTTCTGTCATATGCAGCATGTAGCCTACTCACCTAGCTACAACATCACCCTTAACAAGGTTGATGCGTCACGACGTTCGACAGTTTGTCAGTTCATTACCTCGCGACTGTTGACAGCGTAATTTTTTTTCCCACCGCCCCGAGCAAACACCGCACCACCGATTCAGCTCACCGCGAATCTAGCGTCCCGCCATCTACTCGGCAAGAGAGCGCGTTGCAACTTTTAAAGCTTTTGTCTTGCAAACTTTCGTATGCTCTTGCAGTGTATTGTTACATTTGAAAGCCGACTTTCCTTAGACGACGATCTTATAGCCGCTCGATTGTGTCGCAGGGAACAAGGCTTTGATGATTACTTTGTGTTGCACCTATGGTCGGGATGTTTTACGACGATGTCCTCCGTTGCTATGTGCTCAAACTTTGCCGACAAACGACAGTCAATCAGTCGAGATTGTCGATGATGACGTCCAGAAACCTAGAAGAGCTCCGATATATAGGTCAATTTCGCCAGCTGGCGGCAAGCTGAAGTAGTACAGGCACATGCGTCAGCACCAAGGGAAATGTATGGACAGACGGAGCTATCGTGTCGACCAAACTTGATAGGTTTTGTCTAATATTATTATTACAGAAACGCACCTCTCATCCTATCCTTATGAGACATGAGCCATGGGGCGGCATAACGATTTTGCGCTGTTGCGAAGCCCAACAGCTGTTGACACTGAATGTTTTTTTCTTACCTGACAGTGTCGTTACCATAGTGAAATCAAGTGCCAATCGCTCGCCACGCCCCAAATCGAGAAAGGGCGTAGCAGAAAGAGACGAGCTCTTTGTTTTCGTTTCCCTCCTTCTTTTTGCTCGGTAAACACGCAGTATCTCACACTCGCTCGACCGGTTGTTGCTGTGCAGTCAGCTTTGCAAGGCCAGTGGCTTTATTGTTTTGATCAGACGACGACAATAACGACAGAAAGGGGGAGTGACTTCTTCACCGAAGCAAAGGAAAATTTAAGGAATAAAAGTGGTTACTTTGACATTCGCCATGCCTCAGGTAAGTGCGTCGATCTGTCTTTTCATTTTCTGGTAGGAGAGAAAATTTCTCACGCCAATGGTGGTATATATAATAATGTTATTTCATATAGAGTCTTGTATTCGCGGACCAAGTGCCGACGTATGTGTTCCAAAACGTGACTTTTCAAACGACCGTCATGTTAGTGGATGATTACAAGGCAAAAGTCATGGGGTATGTATTCCTTTGTCCCCCTTTCGCTTTATTGTGTCATAACCGACCGTTACAATGTCTAAACGAATTGTTTCGCTTGTCCTACTTGTAGTGTCCACAAGCCACTGCGAGTGTCTTTACGCTACCATGACACATACGACTTGGTAGACGATCAAGAAGCTGTTCTTCAAGTGGCCTCTAAAGCACATATCAATCCCAATACGGGACTGGCAGTGCTGTCAATGAATTTGCACACACTTGTAGCTGCTTGTGATACACGCAACTTTTGTCTCGAAGTTGGCAGTGCTGACTCAAATATTGAATCTATATTTTCATCGCCTGTGTGCGTTGTGAAAGAGAAGCTGCAAGTGGTGACACAACCGCCGGACGTCTGGTTTAAAGACGAAGGAGGGCGTGAGAAGTGCATGACTGTGGCTTTGACTTTGATGCCGGCACCTGGAGCATTTCTTGAAGACCGTGTGGTGCCATTGAATGTACGGTTACTGTACGAGTCAGGGGATATAGTGCTGAACCATAGCATCTTGAGACTGTTTCCTGACATGAGACCTAACATGACCAATGGTTGCGTGACGGTATCGTTCCGGATTGATGATGTATCAAAGAATCATCAGGGACAGTCATTTATGCTGGAAATCGGACCGGAGCAACAGGATGGTAGCTCTATGTTTCAAGATATTGCACCAACACGAACGTCAGCGATTTCTATTCGATCCAAGCGCAACAAAAGAAAACTCAATGCACAAACAGCAGCGGCAGCGGTGGCTGCAGCTTCTAGAGGTACGCGTGCTTCACCTCGAAGCGTTACGGGCACGCCTCAAGCGCCTTATATGGGTACGACCGGAGCTCAAAATTCTTCACAGGAAATGAATGGAGGAGTTGTGACGACGGAGACGCATCCACAACGTGCTCGCAAGTACATGGCTACAAGTAGCGGCACGGGATACGACATGATGCAGTTGCAATCGCAACAACCAGTGGTATCGATGTCTTGGAGCAGTCAGTTGATGCAGCCCAGTGCCAGCGTCGAGTCCCCAATGCAGCAGCAGATACCGCAGAATCAGCAGGCTCCTGTCCAGACCCCAGGTAGCGGAGCTGGCAGTAGTCCTAGAGCAATTGAATGGGCGCTTGCTGGCTTCGAGATCCATCCCGATGGCTCAATTAACTCTGCACGGCCAATCTATCGCTGCCCGCGGTGCCAGCGGCTAAATGGTGTGGACATGCTAGCGGTGGGCCCCGCAGTTTCGCACAGCCCGCAGTGCGTGTTCTCTCCCAATCGTAGCAACGACACCATGATGTACCGTTCTCAGAGAGAACGGGCGCTTATAAACCAGCAGCAGCGTGGATATGCAGCTTACCCGCAGCTGCCTGAACAGGGTATGGGTGTGAGTGCACCTCATAATTCCATCACAAACAGCTACGGTAGCAGCGCTATGGTCGATTCCTCGTCGCTGAATGTGGAGCGGAACACTGTCAATATTATGTTAAAGTCGGAGGACGTATCACCGAAAACACTGGACGATTTTACAACGTCGTCAACTCAGCGACCTTCTATGACGATATCTCCATACATGAACAAAGTGACGACCGAAGGGAGTATGCCTGAAAACAGTGGGCAGAAACAGGAACTCACATCGGGAATCGGTAACTTGTTTGAGAGCAATGCATTCCACAACCAAATGGATATGATTAGCACGGAGAAGCTGTTTTTGAACAAGAAAATTGCAATAGAAGATGACCCGGCCTTTGACTTACAACAACAGCAGGCTCAAAATTATCGGCAGGACATGAGCTTATATTCCGGAGGCGTCATTGGTACGTCGCTCTTTAACGAAATGACCAGTATGGGGATCAATCTCGACCCTTACGACAAGGGCGAGCCTCAGCTGCTAGGAGAGCTTGTTGGCCTCGGGCGAAGTGGTATTACAGAGGCACCTAACGGTGAAGATCAAGTCTTTTATATCCTGGCTCGAATGTACACGGATGCGCAGGAGCAGAAGCTTGGTTTGCCAGCTTTCGACCAGTTCCAACGCATGGTAAGTGGCGTTGTGCGTGCTGCAAAATGGGAAGGGATTTAATCTTTTATGTTTGTCTACTTTTCTTTCTTTGCTCTGTTTCAGCTTGGATTCTACAGTGAAGCTCAAGACGACGTTCAGACGCAAGTACTGTTTCACCCATGGCGAGGTGTTTGTTTGTCTGTAACAGAGCGCGAGAAGATCACGTCTCAGTTTGTGAACGAGCTGGAATGTGACTCGCAGGCAGTGCATTCCTTACCCAAGTATCAACACAATCTCATCATGTTACGTGAGGATGCACTCATGTTCTATTGGAGCCAATCACTCGTATGAGGTGGTGCTGTGATGGAGGGAGAATAGAGCAGACTACAGACGTAGCGTTGTCTTTGAAGGGCAAATATGTGCCAAACACGTACATACGACTATTGTATGGTGGTTTGTGGTGAGAGTACCTATTGTCGAGGTAGTAAATGCGTTTTATGCACAAGTGTGTGAGATGCATGTAGAAAGTAGTGTAGTCACAAATGCCGTCCAAGTCCAAAAAAACTTCTTCCCATTGGTTATTGTTTTGACTACCACAACAAAAAAGGTATCTGATGGGTACAGTATACCAGACCTATAGTGCGTAATACAAACCCTCTCTTTAGTCATACTTTATGTGGTCCACGTGGATCGTTCCGGCCAGACATTCTCGAATGCCAGTACCGAAGTTTCCAAAGAGAGATCGATCACTTAAGACTAAAACATAGATCATGTCCGAGACCAAGGCTTTATGGGCGCCTGTCAAATGGGCACAGCGCAAGGATGCGTTATATGTGACTGTGGATCTTCCAGATGTCAAGGATGAGAAAGTGACGCTTGGCAGCAAGAACCTTACGTTTAAGTACGTGTCCCACATAAATTAATACCTTTGTTAAGAGTATTAATTTATGCATTTCTATAAATTTCTACAGGGGTACGAGTAATGGTCAACTGTATGAAGTGTCACTGGACTTTTATAAGGAAGTAGATGTTGAAGCCAAGGACAGTATTTGGGCCAAAACGGACCGTAATGTGCACTTTCATATTGTCAAGAAGGAGCAGAATGAGGAATTTTGGCCACGTCTTTTGACAGACAAGCACTTGGAGAAGACAAATGTGAAGGTGGACTGGAGCAAGTTTGTGGATGAAGATGAAGAGGAAGAACAAAGTGGCTTTGATATGAGCGCGCTTAATGGCGGTGGAGGTTTCGACATTAACCAGATGATGGCGGCTCAGAATGCTGCTGGTATGATGGGAGAAGGCAGTGACAGTGATGATGAAGAACTGCCTGATCTGGACTCCAATGACCAGTAATTGGACGCTCGAAGCAGCAGCAGCAGAAGAGAGAGAGATTGTGGATGAAGGTGCGAGGACTAGAGGACATTGACACTGGATCATCTTTTGCTATTAGCTCGCTTTGTGTTGGTTTTTTGCGATAACGTGCGAAGGAATACACTGCACATGTTGTGTTTGTGTTTGCTATGATTTGATGGGGTTTTGTGGGTTTGTGCCAGATTTTGTTGCAAGAAGAGGAAGGTAGTTAGTTCATTTTAAAGATACTTCAACGCAAATGTAGTTGATGTAGTGATGACAGGAAACGCTACATGGCATAAACTTAATTTGTGAAAGGCACTCACGCGGCTAAGCAAAACATGCCTTTGCCTTCGGGATGCTTTTGAAACCGGACGTTGGAAAAGAGAATCTTGCGCACCGAGGATTTCCATACGGGAGATTTACGCTGATCACTGCCGCAGTACAAAACCAGACGTTACATCCACTTTATTCACGTGTTTGTCATTGATACAAATGTAATATTACGTGTATAACAACTCACCTCTCTAACTTCCAGTTGAGTTGACTCTCGTACTCGATCTCGACAAAGTCGCAGATATCCTTGAAGGAACCCTAAAACACAGGGGTGATGTTTGACCATTGCACACGAATCGTCAGGCAGCGCGACCATTGAAATCGCTACATCTACGAGTTGGCCTGCCACGTACTTTGCCGTCGGGCAAAATGGTTAGTGCATGCGCGATCATATCTCCGTACGTGACGCTCGCCACCGGTTTCCGGTATTCTAATTAGTAGCAAGTGACTAGTCAATACAACTAACAGAGTATAATTTACTAGCGATAATGCACTCGACCACGTACGATTTTCCGGGATGTCTGCCAAAGTGTTTTCTTGACAAGGTGGACAGTACCATGTCTCGGGTGGTTCGTCAAGCGGATTCAGACCCACACAACTCATATGGTACCAGTTAGACCGGTCAAGACATTTTTTATTGTCGCACGCAATCATGTTCCCATAGCTACTACCCTTGCAAATGCAATACAGCCGTCCTTTTCGCTTCTTCGTTTGTATTACACCAGCGTCGTTATTATCAGGTTTTTCTTGACCACGTGTTTTACATTTTTTATTCTTTTGGTTCACTGCACGCCGTTTCTTGACCACCAACGGACGCATCACGCTATCAAGCTCAGCTCCATCCACTTGTTCATGGTCGTACAGATCGTCAGCCTCTATCTCAGCCCATTCAGCCTCGACACCTAGAACAATGTGGTTTGTTCTTTGCCGGCTTTGATTCTCATTGTCGTCGTCATCATAATTCTGGTTTTTGCAATCCAACCGATACATAGGCCGAGATCGAAGAATCTCTGCAGCTTCAACAGTATTACTTGACCCTGTAAGCTGCCAATTAGCAGCAATTTGTTGCATAAGCATAAAGAAATCACCAGAATGGTCTGTAAAAACTTCTTACGAAAGTCATGAATGACGTGATGCTGGAACTTTCGTCTGTCTTTTTGCACTCGACGTTAAAGTGTCTTTGGTTGCAAAAAGTCGTATAACTTAGTACTTAATAAGCCACTACAATTTAACATTACAACTTACCTGGCAACTAGTATTGCCAATTGCTCTCTTGAACTCCCTGGAACTTCTGGAAGGTCGTGAAACGTCATATACTTGCGCAATGCATTCAACTGCACGAATTCGACAAACGGATTCAAATTGGATCATTGTAAAAGGTGCAAGAACCATGTTTAAACTCTTCATCCGTCCGTAACATTGACGTTCTATGCAAAATAAAGCGAAAAGGTCCGACTTGACGTCATTGAAACTTTATAGTGCACCTTCGTACCTGCAATCGAGTGAAATCCACCGCCATATTCATTGGGTATTGATTGCATTCTCCTGGCAATATGAATGGCGATGAAATTATCAAGTTGTTAGCGCTAATGTCCGCACTAGACGCAGGCACGTCTTCCTGCGGATCCGCCATGATGCTTCTATATGAATGTTGATTCTTTTTTGTATAAAGCAATTTTGGCCAATCTTGCGCCGGCTTGCACTTAAAGAGCACTATTTCTTGTATAGCTACTGTACTATTGTATCATTTTTGGGGGAGTTTTTGTTAATTAGCCCACCTTTTTAAATTTGTCTAAATCTGAATGGTCAGAATCGCAAATGAGAACATCTCATTTTGAGCTTACAAAAACATTCATTAAACGTCACAGTTTTTATAAGTTAATGTTTTTAATGGAGATAAAAGCTCACATTATTATCGACGACCTATTTCTACTTCTAAAAGGGTGAAAAAACTTTCATATTTGGACAAATTTGGAAAGGTGGGCTAATTAGTAAAAAAGTGCCAGATATCTAGCGCCCCCATTTGTTAAGTTACTAAAGTAGTCATTTGAATCTGGCACTGCTTTAGGTTGTGGGACCGACGTGCGTCGTTCTCGAATAATATCGGTAGTCTTTCGTGTCCAGACCAAACAATGTCGCTGTACGGTGCTTGTCACCTGCGGTAATAGCTCTCGAAGTTGTCTGGCTATGGCACGTTGACATAGCATCAGACGAAATTTAAATATATTCGTGTCAGTTCGCCGGTACTCTCGCTTCGCTACGGCTTGTCTCGGTGGTATTTGGTGAGCTGTATCTGGACTACCTTGGATAGTCCTGGCGCGCGTGTTTGCTAGAAAGCACTGAAGCCGTCAAAGCTCCCATCAATCTCCTGTCCAGTGGCAGATAAATCATGCCAACAGTCTTGCGCGCACGGGCATGTCCAGCAGTTGTGTTCCAGTGTTTCTTGCACCCTTTGGCAGCATCGGATCTTGCGGCAATTGGTATCTTGCCCTCAGTATGGATAATAAAGAATTTCAGTTGCCCACTCTATAAACGATCCAAACTTAAAACGCAGTGAGCTCGATCCTATGAGCATATGTTTTTGGCTGGCGTCTGCTATAAGCTGCCGTCTGCCACGCATTCACCCGCAGAGTCCGGAGCGTCACTAATTTCCGTGTCATCGACTTTTCGGATCTTTATACCGATGAGACAATTGTTTCTTCGAGGCCAATTGTACGAGTTTGTTCTCGATCGCTCCACGAAAACCCGTGGATAAACGGATTCGCATAGAGTACGATACTCTCTGGCCATGTCGGAGCCGCTTGCACGCGGCAACCGTCCTCTGATCCTCGAATTTGCTCGCGCCAATTTTTGAACGAATGCCGTTGCTGTATTGTTTCAAGGCGATGACGCTCCGCTGATAGGTCTGAGTCCACCATGATGCCGCTGCTGACGCAGCCCCATCGTAAGGTATTTTTATGTGTAGGACTGTGACAGGTGTAGGATGACGCAGGTGTAGGTCTTTTCGCATCGACCTACAGCTACGCTTAGCTATCAGCACAATCGCTAGGCCCCATCGTCGCAGCTTGGCTTGTTGATGCGTGGTTGCGCCTACCGTGGGAATGACAAAGGAGTAAGTTTAATCCTCAATTTGATGCCGCAGTTGAAGTTCCGTGATAGTATAGGACTGAATCTTGTCATACGGGTTCCGTAGCATTAAAGAATTCCTTTGCTAGTCCGCAATCCATGAATTTTTGGCCCAAGAATACGCAGACCAGAATGCTTCCTCCTCTGCTGTCATTGCCCGGAGAGCGTGACGGAGTGGTCGTGAGATGTAGACGGGCACTTCTACCAAGTTGCCTCGTACTACTTAGCGCAAACCTTCAGCACAAGCGAAAAAGCGGTTAGACCGTCTTACCTTCGCGTGCGAGGGTGGATGTGGGTTGGTCGACTGCTTAAGCAGTCGTACCACCAGTTGCCTCTCGCTTTAGCGAGAGCGCAACGAACCTCTGAACAAGAAGTCACTGACGTCACACAGAAGCTTTTTCAGCTTCTCGTGCGTGGTGCTTACGTTTAGTGAATTCAAGACTGATTTATATTTAATAGAATGTAACTAAATATAAATCTAACTACTGATTGGTTATTATGTAATGATGGGTGCCATCTCTATAGATGCCCATCCCAACGTGCGAGCTTATGTAATGGGGCACCCTCCGACTATACTGATTACAGTATAGTCTACTTTCACTGATTACAGTGAAAGCAGGTGCCTCAATTACCTCTCTTACACAAGAGGCAGAGGAAGCTTTACTTCTAAACAAACGCTTAGAAGTAGAGGAAAAG